GTCCAATCTCATTTCAGAAGGTTTTTCTGAAGAGAATGCATGCCAGAGGCGAGATTGTGCTCGTTTGTATGTGTGTTTGTGTCTGTGTGTGTGTGTATGTTTTTTTTTGTTGGTCTGTGCATCATGCGTGCGTATGTATGTTTGAATGGAAGTTTATATGTATGTATTTATTTATATACATGTATACATAGTCTGTGTTTTGAAAAAGATAAATGTAATTGTATACTTGCGTGTGTATGTGTGTGTGAGTGTGCATGTGCGTGCGTGTGTATGTGTGTGCGTGCGTGTGTATGTGTGTGCGCGTGTTGTTTGTATCCTATTTGTATGATTGTATGATAAATGCCCGAGTTCTGCACATGTCGGCAAATTTACGTTCGTCCTGCTTTAGAGGTATATTAGAAAAAAGTCTCTATATTTTAACGCTATTTTATGTTTCTCTTATTTTGTGTGTTCCTGTGTGTATGTGCGTGTGTGTATGTGTGTGTGTATGTGTGTGTATGTGTGTATGTGCGTGTGGGTATGTGCGTGTGTGTATGTGCGTGTGTGTTATTGGGGTTGACATTTCAGAGGAAAAAAGTCTTTTTAAGGAATGTTAGAGTCAATTAAAGGTTCACTTTGATCGGAGAACTCGGAGAACTTTTAAAGAAGGAACATGAAAATATTTTTTTAAAGGTCTGCTAAAAAAATAATGAATGTTTCATGTGATAATTTCAATCTTCTTTTTTTTACCAAATTTCATCTTTTATTTATTTTTATTTGTTTATTCATTTAATTTTCCGGTTTTAAATAATTCAAGTCGTTTATTTTTATAATTATTTCAACAGGAAATAGTTTGATCATTAATAACTATTAATCTGCCATTTCTTTATCATTCATTCATTCATTCATTCATTCATTCATTCATTCATTCATTCATTCATTCATTCATTCTACTACTGCAGCAGCAGCAGCAGCTTCAACGACTTCAAGACGCTTCACTACAGTACAGTACAGACAGACCGAACAATGGCTATCATCAATAAATAGATTCAGTATCTCCATGCTTCGGCTCACCTCAGACATGCATCATTAAATCTTTTAAAAATCTATTGACTCTTTTGTATGTGTGTGTGTGTATGTGTGTGTAGTGTATGTGTGTTTATGTATGTGTGAGATTATGTGTGTGTATGTGTGTGTCTAGTGTGTGTGTATGTGTGTGTGTGTATGTGTGTATGTATGTGTGTGTAGTGTATGTGTGTGTACGTATGTGTGTGTCTAGTGTGTGTGTGTGTGTGTGTTTGTGTGTGTGTGTGTGTGTGTGTGTGTGTTGTTGTTGTTGCAAAAAGCAAACAACATCATTAAAAACATTGACACCGGCAACTAAAACACCAACAACAACAACAACAACAACAACAACAGCACCACTAACAACAAAAACAGCACCAACAACAAAACACCAACAACAAAACAACAAGTTGATGATCATGAACAAAAATATTAGCAGCAAGCACCGACCAACAATCAATAAATATCGTAAACAAAAAATTATTTTTTCACTTCAACAAACACCACTTCCTAATCTTCAGCCCATCCACCTCGTCAATAATAAACTGCAACAAACAAAAACGTTGTCAACATTTTAACAGCAACAAAAACAACAACAACAACAAAATAAAGGCAACAACTATAACAACAATCTTTTTCACAAAAACTACTACTACTGCCATTACTACTATTGCTACTACTCTACTACTACTACTACTACTACTACTACTACAACTACTACTACTACTACTACAACTACTACTACTACTACTAACCAGGGTTGAAGATCTAACACAGTAGCCATCATCATCATTATCGTCAGCGATGACGTCACAGCTAAATTCAACTTTTTTTTTACTTGGAGAACAAACTAAAATATCAGGTTGAACCGGTAAAACATTTTTGGCCCGCCCACAAAAACCATACGTGGCCAGTGATTGGCTGACGGGCAGACCAGTAACATTGGCTGTTTCGTATTGCCCCTTAAAGCTATTGGTTGCTGACGATGTTGACATTTGTGGAGACTGAAAGGGGGAGTTTTTTAATAAAGTTGATGTCATTGTTGAATAATGTTGTTGCGACATCAATGAAGATGTTGTTGTTGGTGTTATTGATGTTGACGGAATGTTGGTTTGTTTTGCTAAAGAAATGTTATTGTTGTTGTTATTGTCATTAAAATATATGCGCGTTGTTGCGATTGGTTTCAAGATGGCTGTCACCTGGCCTGTATAGTGAGTTTTGTTGTTGTTGATGTGTTGTTTATTGGTCGTAGTGTTACATCTGTTGTTGTTGTTGTCGCAGATTGGAGCGTTGAAAGTTAATTTAGTTGTCATAGACAAATCTCTGGCATTGCTAGGACTGCTTAACGTTGAGTTGTTGTTGCTGTTGCTGTTGTTGTTGTTGAGGTTGCGAAAGATGTTATTATTATTCTTGTTGTTGTTCACGTAGCTGTTTTTATTTTTGTTTTTGTTGTTGTAGTGTGGCGGTGGTGGCGGGGGTGGTGGAGGTGAAGACAACTCCTTGTAGACGAGGCAGTTGCTTTTGTTGCTGAGCGAGTTCATTTTCAACATTTTGCTGTTTTGTTGTTGTTGTTGATGAGGGTGATGATGATGGTGATGATGATGATGGTGCTGTTGATGTTGATGGTAATGATTGTAGTTATTTTTGTTGCAATCGCCGTAGCAGCCGTGCACGTGTTGCTGGTTGTAAATGTCGACGCCAGTGCCGACGCCACAACCGCGATCCACACCACCACTACCGCCTCCAGTGACGTCATCATCCTCATCGTACCCACCACAACCCCCTCCTTCCTTCGTCACAACATTCAGGTAATCACATTTGCTCCTCATTTTGAAATTTTCATTCTTATCTCCGTCGCCAGCGTCGCTACTCCCGGTACGTGACCTTGACCTGATTTCGCGACATCGTCTGCAGAGGACGACGGCAAGGACAACGACGAGGACGACAAAAGTGACTGAAGCGCCGGCACAGACGACTGACACCATCAGGAACCTTCCCCACCCCTTCGAACCGCTCACAGCCGCGTCAGACGTTTTCACTTGGTCCGCGTGTTTCTCCAGATTATTTGAAGTCTCCTGCAAGTAAGGCAGCGAGGTAAAAGCCAGTTTCTGATTGGCGTAGCCAGTATTGTTCAGGGCCAATAGAAGAGTGAGTTTACTTTTAAGAGGGGGACTTCCGTTGTCCCTGGCTTCCAATTGGACAATGAACACCTGAAAATTGTTCATTGGTTAATGATTATAGGTCGAATTAATTTTTAAACGTCATTGTTTTTAATTTTTTTGGGTTCTTTCATTTTTTCTAAACTTTTTACTCCTTTTTTTTTCAATTTATCTTGTTAATTTGAAAACATCAATCCTATTCCATTCGTTTTCGGCCTTACTTTCATTACATTGACGCCATTTTGACCGTAGGAATGAATCATTTTGTCATCATCAAGATAACTTGCTTCAAATATCATTCACATTTTTGTTTCATTATTATTCTTCTTCTTATTATTATTTATTATTATTGCCATTATTATTATTACTATAATTATTTATTGTTATTATTATTTTTGCAATTATGACGTGATGTCATCTTTGAAATCGGTTCTATAAAAGGCCAAATAACTAGACCATCAATCTTAGGCCAGGCACGTGATCAGTTGGGAGAATAATAATAATAACAACAACGACAACAACAATAATAATAATAATAACGGCAACATTAGCAGCAGCAACAACAACAAAAACAACAACAACAGCAACAAAAACATCAACAAAGACAATAATAACAACAGCAACAACAACAAGACATCATCACTTACAGGTTGACAAGTTGTTTAAATTGTATCCGACGCTTTCTAAAATCTCAACCTCTCACTATCCTACTCCTTCATTTTGCTCTCTCTTTTCTCTCTCTCTCTCTTTTTATCTCATTTTATCTCTTCTCTCTCTTTCTCTCTTTTTCTCTTTTCTTTAATCTTTTTTTAATCAAGGCCTTGAATACAAAATCTTTTTAAACGTGATGTCAAGATTTGCAGAACAACAAAAGCAACAATCACAAAAACAACAATAGAAATAACAATAACAACAACAAAAATTACAACAACAACAATAATAATATTATTATTATTAATTATAGTAACAACAATTATCATAAAATATAATATTAATAACAAACATTTTCAAACATCATAGCAATCGTTTATATCACCGTTTCAAAATTATCACAATCAGAGTTTTTTTTTAACAATCATCATCACAGTCGTCGTCATCATTATCATCATTATTATGATTATAATTTTCATTAATTATAACGTTATGTTACACCATTGCATCAATATGACGTCATCATCAT